ACAGGTCTATTTGGTAGTACCCAAAACACGGGAGCTCAGAACACTGGTGGTAGCCTTTTCGGAAGCCAGAGCCAGCAGCAGCAGCCGGCTGGTGGTAGCATGTTTGGGTCTTCGCAACCTACGCAGGCTCAACAGCCCCAACAGCCCGCCCCTGGTAGCTTCACTTCCTCCCTCCTTGAGGGGAACCCATACGGTAGCCAGTCTATCTTCTCGGGACTGCCAGCACCCAATGCGCCGTCTCCTGGTCCTCTGGCCACTCCGCTCTCTTCCACTATGAAGCAGAAACAGCGAACCCCACTACCTGTTTACAACATGACCCCCCATGCTGCGAACCGTCTTATCACTCCCCCTAAGAGGAACCAAGGCTATGGATTCTCATATTCTACTTATGGATCCCCCTCTAGTGCGGCCAGCACGCCTGGCCTAGGTAACAGCCTGTTGGGGTCTGGGCCTAGCAGTGGCGGTCTGCGTGGCAGCGTCAATGGCAGTTTCGGGCGCAGCTTCAGCAAGAGTTACTCCACCAGCAATCTTCGCAACTCTTTCAACCCGGATTCGGATAGCATTCTATCTCCCGGTGCCCTGCAGGTTGGCAGCGGTCGTAGTAACGGCAGCAGTCTCAAGCGTCTTACGATCGATCGTAGCTTGCGGAGCGATCTCTTCGCTCGTCCCGCCAGCACATCGCCAGCACCCATCACTAATGGCGAGGATGCGTCCCAGCCAGCTGACAAGCTGAAAAAGAAGGTCAGTTTTGACTCGCCGAGTGTTTCTGGTGGTGAGCTGGTTCGCGTGGAGTCTAAGAGCCCGGAACCTACCCCCGCAGAGCTCGGATTCCTTCGTTCTACTCGCAAGAGTGGCAGTCTTAACGGCATCGATGCCATTGACCGTCCCGAAATGGAGTCCGTCAGTCGCGATCTTGCTGTCGTTCCCGAGAATAGCGAGCCCGTTCCTGCTGCCGTCAAGCATGTTACCGTTCCTACCGGTGACCCCAAGCCGGGTGACTATTGGATGTCCCCCTCAGCAGCGCAGCTCCAGAAGATGAGCCGCGATCAGTTGAAGCGCGTTGTGGACTTCACTGTCGGTCGTCAGAACTGTGGACAGGTCACTTTCAATGGTGTTGTCGACCTTACTACCGTTGATATCGACAATATCTTCAATGGTATTGTGGACATTGGTCTTCGGAAGATCACTGTGTACCCTGAAGAGTCTATCAAACCCCCCATGGGTAAGGGACTCAACGTACCTTCCACTCTACGTATCGAGAACTCCTGGCCGCGTGGTCGTGATAAGAAGAAGCCGTCCCCCATCACCAATGGACCACTCTTTGATAAACACATTGAGCGTTTGATGAAGGTGACGGATACCCAGTTCATCGACTATGAGCTTGAGACTGGTACCTGGGTATTTACTGTGCCTCACTTTACCACATATGGACTTGACTATGATGAGGATGAAGAAGGTGAGAGTCTTGATCAGAGCACTATGAGTGCAGGCCCTGACAATCACACTCCCAAGGCCGACCACCCCATCAGCTTTGAGCAGTCCGCGACCTTTTCAATCGACGAGTCGTTTGTTGGATCTATGGCTGGTATGGATGATGACACCTTCGATTTCAAGAAGCACAAGTTGGTCCCTGGCTCTTTTGGAAATCAGGCTATGGCCATGGAGGACCAAGATATGGGTTCTGAGGGTGAGACCGAGTCTTTTTTAGAGGAAGGCTCCGCGGGTTCAACTACTGAGCATGACGACGACGTCACCGAGAGCCAGCAATCTGGCGACTCGATAGTTGGATCTGATGAGGAAGGGGATATGGACATGGCGGGTTCTTTTCCCAGTCTTCATCGCACCGTGGAGCAGGACGATGACCAGACCAGTGTTCTGGAAACCACCCAGCCTATCTTCAAGCCCTTTGGCACACCACCCAAGCCTCGTTTGAACCTCAGTGGCGACTGGACTGAGCAGCTTCAGCGAACGATCAGCCCACGAAAGCAAAATCGTGATGCTCTGCGAGAAATCCAAGCTAATGCTTTCACCGACCGACATTTCTTGAACGAGGAATCACCATCCGAGAAAATGGCATCTCCCAAAAAGGGATTTACCAACAGTATCGACCTGATGAATTCGCTATTCCAGCAGCCACCAAAGAAGCAAAACGCAGCTTCTCAGCTGAAAGCTTCGAAATCGCAGCCCAAAGGCCTCGAGGTTCGCTCCCCTACCATGCTTTGCACTTGATTTCCCTTCCATTATCGACGATTCATCATTGCCCTGTGTCCATACCTCATTCTTTGTTTTCCCCTGTCAATTTTTACCCATCTTGTATCTAGCACCTCCATTCCCCATCGTCGCAGATAGTTGACCAATTTGAGATCACATGAGCTAAATTTTATTCTCTTTCTTCCGTACAGTGGCCTTACAACAAGCAACCCAAAACATTCGCTGATGATACCACACAAATGGACGAGAAGGACTCTGCTTTCCATGAGTCCTTCAAACCCCGCTGGGGTCCTATGGACACCATTATCTGTGCCAAGGATGACCTCAACGAGCCTTTCTCCGACACAAACACTCGATGGAAGGAACGTTATTCTATCTTCAGTGAGGCGAGAGATGTCACAATCCTAGGCTACAATCCACCAACTGAGGTAATTTTCCCTTCGTCCCCATGTCGAAAACTACGCTGATTCGGAACTTAAGTCCACGGAAATTCTTGATGTGCAAAAACAACAGTCTACCATTCAGCGGGTCGATGGGATACCCTTGGTCCGTCTAGCCAAGATTGATCTTCGTCAGTTTGCGTTCCAGGCGGCCCCGGAGGAAGAACGGTTGATTTGGCAGCTGGCCAACATTTTGTTCAACGATGAGATCGAGGACGACATCTCGGCCGGTGTGCCTCCGCAATTGCGATCCAAGTATGCCCATCGGATTAAGAAGGATCGGTTGACCCGCCTGTGGAAGGGCATCATTCGTGATCGACACCCTCATGATCTAGACCATATTCGCTCGCCAGAAGAGCGCGCTGTTCACCTTCTCTGCTCTCACCGAATCGAAGAGGCTTGCAAAACTTTGGTTGATAGCCACAACTATCATCTGGCCACCGTTGTGGCACAGATTGGTCGGGATGCCACCTCGCGGGCCGATATGGCCAATCAGATTGAGGTCTGGCGCCAGAACAATGTCCTTTCTGAAATGTCCGAGCCTGTCCGAGCCCTCTATGAGCTAGTTTCCGGCAATGGACTTCGCAGCGAGGGCAAAGCGGGCGGTGCTCTAGAAGACCGAGCCTCAAGCTTCGGTTTCACCGAGCGATTCGAGCTGGATTGGCTGCAGGCCTTTGGTCTGCGTCTGTGGTATGGTATCACCGAAGATGAGCCTATCGAGGCCGCCGTCTCCAAGTTCCTTGACGACCTAGCCACGGGCCTCGAGCCTGCTTTCCCCCACCCGGCGCAAAGTGCCAACACTCGTACTACTGTGCAGCCTGGCTCAGACACTCTTGGCCGTGAGTCCCCGTTATGGGTTATTCTCAAGGCATACTCGGCCGCTAGCGGAAACACAAAGGTTCCTGCCACTGAGCTCCCTGCGGCTCTGCTCCCCCAGTCTTTGTCTGGAAACCTTTTGACCAATCGCTTGTCCTTCCAACTGCATCACGTCCTCTCTACTGTCGTGGGGCAAAACAACGCGATCAAGATTAATCAAGTCCAAGTCGACCATCTGGTTTGGGACTATGCTTCGGAACTAATCGCCGGTGGAGATGTTTCCTCGGCTCTCTTTGTTCTTCTTCACCTGTCGCGGCCCGATGATCGTAAGCGTGCTGTGCAAGAAAGTCTTGCCCGATATGGCGCAGACCTTCCCGACCCCGCATCTCCCGATGGCTCTGCTACTGACCCTGCCTGGCTCCACATGACTGTTGATCTTCAAATTCCCGATTCTTGGCTTTGGGTTGCCAAGGCCCTTGCTGCCCGTGATCGTGGTGATGCCATCCGTGAAGTCGACTGCCTTATTCGCGGCAAGCACTGGAATGATGCCCATGCTACCTTCTGTCGCATCGTTGGGCCTACGACTGTTATCTCGCGCGATTACCACACTCTGGATAAGCTTGTCACCGGTTTCGGCGATGGTCCTGAACGCAAGATGCGTGGCTGGGCCTCTGGCGGTGGTATTTACGAAGACTTCCTGCGCCTGGCCACTGCACCCCGCGGTAGACGTGACCCCACTCGTCTGACTCGCCTTGTCAATGCCTTGGTGGCCGTTGGTGGCCGTGTTCGCGATGGTTCCGGCATGGACGGCCTGGAAGAGCGTGTTGCTTTCAAGGAAATGAGCCGTGCCTTAGCCGGCTGGATTACCCATGAGGATGTTCAGGTCAGTGATTACCCCAACTCTTTGCACAAATTCCCCATTTCCTGTTTACAATCTTACTAACTCACCTTTTAGTCCGTCGAGTCCTCTGCAGTTCTTGGTCTTCCCCTGACTGGTGATGCTCGCGTCCTGCAGACCGTGGAGATGAGCCGACGTTACTACGGTGTCGTTATGGCTGGTGGATTTTAAGGTGATCTTGAAAAGATAAGCGGAGCATAGATTTATCTTGATTTGACGTAATTGTCTCTCCATGCCTTTGTCATTTTTCCAGCATGTTTCAGCAATAATTTCCTTTGTACCATCCCCAACGTGAACATGTATTTTATTCAGCCAATTCTATTGCCAAAAATATTCCACCTGCTCCATTATATGACAGAGTATGTCATCGTAGATCTACCTCAGATTATGCAGCACACTACCGTGACTTCCTTGATGGAGTGTCATCAGTCCCCACGGCATTATGTCAAGGTGGAGGACTTTGGCTTTAAGGAGATAACAGTATGGAAGAAAGAGGATATTGACACGTATTAAAGATTGAAAATTGTTATTATTCTGTCGTGGGGAAAATTTTCAGGGCCTAAGTTGCCCCAAACTCATTAATACATGTATTGGAGGATTTGTGCATCTTTATGCTATATCGAAGAGACACATAATTAATCTCTCTTCTCCATCGCCATGATTGAATCCATATTATCAGGCAAGTCTTCACCACGGACGGTGTCTGTCAACAAGTTCAACTGTCCAACAAGCTGTTTCGTTCCGGCAAATAGTTGAGATAGGTTACTTTCCAGGGCCATCATAGTCATCTCCATAGACGCAATGGCCGAAAACAGCGGTTTGCTGAAGTTTTCAGGACGAAGAAGATTTGCATCAGGGGCAGCAGCAGTGAGCAGCACGGTAGGCAGGCGAAGTTTAGGCGCTCTAAGATAAAGAGGCAGTGGAACCCCGGACTTGATGGCGCCTGATAGTGTCGTGAGAAGGAATGTTACGTCATGGGACCTTGAGTCCAAGGAAGTCATGAGCCTTCTGATGTCTTCGACCCACGATTCCGAGGATGTTGGGCCGGTGAGATGGAATGAATCCGCGATTTCAACCAATGTTACGGAAAGTTGAAGTACACTGGGGATAAACTATATTAGGGCTTGCAGCAATTGAAATAAACAAGGAAAGAACGTACTTTCGCGCATGCTCGGCCAATTTATCGTAGGTGACCCTGGGGAATCTCCCCCCAGTGGTAGGTTCCCAGGCAAAGTACCAGGAGTGCTGTTTCATTGCCTGTAGCAGAACGATTTCCTTGGCAAGCACACGACTGCGTGCTTTCTCTAGGACTCTCCCGAGACTCTTCTTGTCGCTATGGTCTCCAGCCAGACCTTTGATTGGTATCGAGTTTGTCATATACACAGAGCTATAATAATGTGCGAGAAGATAAAGAAAAGATGCAAGATCTTGTCGGAAGCAAGTCTTGACTGTGGTCACAGACGGAAAACATGTAAAAATAAAAGCAACCCCGATACCACCCACAACAGCAGCCAGTCGATAAGGCGACAGCACGTACAGAGCGTGGTATTCTTGCCCGTTAGACTCGAAGAAGATGAGCCCGACTTTCTTTACCTGAAGTGGATTGGGTACGGGGGCTTTTCCTATGGTTCTGGCATATCATGTGATGGAAGTGCCGCCTGTTTTAGTTAACTGACTGAGTTAAGCAACCACTTAAAGATCTCGATTATTCAGCGAGTGATTGATGATTGGGTAAGTACATTTGTTGGCCTATCCTTTGGATTGAGATCAATAGTGACAATATTTTTTGATCTATTATTGTGACATGATCCCCGACATGTCCTTGCTTCCTTCCCAATATTCTAAGTCTCTTCTCGTGGGTTGGTTAACCGGTTCTTATATAAGGTTCAGATCAGGCTAGAAATACATGAAATGTGTAGCATACAGTACAGAATTCATTTAATGGTAGTCACCATACGTTTGAAATATCATCCTTGCTCGCAGACTTTGAATGACCACAAAAGACCCGTAAATTATCATCCTACCTACAGATCGGTCTCAATGGCGGTGGGATCCACGCCAACGGTAATGTATCCCACCATACCCTTGCTCAAATCATTACCATCAATGGGAACAACCGAGATCACAGGGCTGTAGCCACCATCCGTGTCTTCACTGAAAACACTGTCATTGGCATTGGTCGTGCGGTTAATCTCAGTATGAGATGCATAAGGCTCTAGAGCCATTATCTTCTTTTCGAGCTGCTCGTCGAAATAGATCTGACCAGTGCTAACCGTGTTACCATATGCCATGGTACCATTGCCGCGAATGGTCCAATCAGTGTGAACTTGGACGTGGATGTGAATCGCTCTTTCAATATAAAATCCTGGTGGAAATGTTAGCCTAAACGGCGGGCCGGTAAAATGACAGGGGAACCAACCGGGGAAAATAGTCTTCATCTCCATCATGCCATTGTGATCGGTCGGCCACATTCCACGCAACCATGTGGTATCATCGGTGTGGAGATCAGTGGTGCCAATGTCAAAGTCCGTGACGTTCAACTCGTTCAGCAATGTCTCGAAAGGCGTGTTGGGAGAAAGCCCAGTGAAGCTGGAGTAACTACCAGTGGCATTGCAATGCCAAAAGTCGACTAGAACCCCTTCCAATGGCTCACAGGTATTCATGTCTAGAACACCAACATCTAACCACAAAGGCACGCCAATTTGGTCTTCGGTCATATCTTGACGAAGTGTCTGGGATTGCGGCCAAATATAAGGGCCCTCAGTCACCTCAGGTGTCAACACGCAGGTGTCATTCTGGATAACATCGTAGTAGGGTGCTTCCGTCTGAACCTGAACGGTGGTGTTGTGGTCGTGGGATCGCTTGTTGATGCTTCTGTTCCAACGCTTCTCGTTAAATCGAGCAACATGTTCAGAGCATCGAGTAGATAAGTCGTGGCGCCGATCAACCTCTCGCTTTGAGATTCCGTGATGAGGGCCTGGATGGGCGAGAGCTACAGAAGCAAATCCGGCCAGGGCCACTAGCTTAGAACAGTGCATAATGAGAGGATACAAGAGAATTTTGGGTGTTTCTGTGCAATTCAAGACGGGGCCTGCTATGACAAGTATTTATGCGTCTGCAAATATTGTTAATTCAACACCTCTGGCTCGCTCATCCTATCTACAGCGATCTACATTTGCGTAAGCCTCTGGGGCATTCTGGCTTGGCATTTTATGATAGATCAATTATGTTAGTGCCTTTATCATCTTGATGAACATTAACTTGGAATAAATATGGAGACGCTTGGCGTCCCTAAGGTCTACGGATTTTAAGGTCCACCATAAACCCCGGGATTTCGGAATTACGAGGAATTGACGAATTCTTTTTGATTAACCTGATAGGCTTTTTCTTGTAGTTGGAGTAACAGGTTCCTCGGAGGTATTTAACGGTTCTGGTCGGGGATATACAGCGATTCCAAATTGGGAAATGTTTTAGTGAGTTTGATAGATGCGCACATGCACTTACCCCCGGACTTGCGAATCCCTTCCAAGGTTCTTTGGTTGTCATTTAGCAGAGTAATCTGAAAAGACATACCTACTGTATATTGGCTAACTCGGCAGTCTCCCAATGTACCTGGTGAGATGTTATTACGCGGCCGGCACTTGGCAATTCCATAGTGATGCCGATCCCTAACTATGTACCGAGTCCAATTTTCGGGGCCTGTGGGGCAAAGACTGGATATCACAACCTCTTGCGTCATGGTAATTTCAAACCCCCTACAGTACTTTGTGAATTGTGGATATGTCTGACTCGAATGTACATACAAAACCATGTATGACGCTGAAGAATCCCGAGTCAGGCTAAACATCTACATGTTCGAGGGTATCATTATGGGTTGCCCTTGTATATTGGGCTAATTGGATTGATCGCGGTTGGTCTATTTGACGGTGTCTGAGTATGGTATAAATCAACTTGAACGGTAAATTAGTCGAGGAGGAGAAGTGAGACACGTTCAAGGTTGTGCAGCAATACCAACTCAGTAGTGACTAGATAAAGCGTCTTGTAGGAAGCAGGGTTAATTGGACTTTTCTCAAGCCAGGCTCCACCATAGGCCCTTACCGTCAAAGGAAACCCCAGATGTGGAGGGCTTTTAGGCCCTTGGTTAACCTGGGGAGATCCGCAACGCGCATAGGGGAATTCTCACATCCTAGTAACCATTCAAAGACTGGGTTTCAGTCGAAATAATCTATACATCAGAAACAACAAGTCTAATCAAAATTAAAAAGATGAGGGCCTGTTTTGATACTGACCGAAAATCTTATTAATTTAGCAAAAATCGACGGCTGGCGGATTCGAACCGCCGCCTCCGAAGAGAATTGATTTCTAGTCAATCGCCTTAGACCACTCGGCCAAACCGCCTTTGATGAAGATTTGCAAGATATAATGCTATCAGAGCAAGCAGCAGGGCTGTATCATAAGCGACCAAAGTCACGTTGCAAAAGTTTGAATTGAATATTTTCCACCGCTTACGATATTTGGCCATCCATCATACGGCTATTTGTCGCGCTTTGGTACGACACGTGTTTGAGCGCTTGTTGTCTTTGAATTACACTATTTAGAGGCTATTTCGGTGCTTAGATGCCTCCAATTCGCACCTCTGACCATCCTTCACCCCCCGGTGAGAATGCCCCTGAAGGTGTAACTCAAAATGACCCACCACGCCGCCGTCGGGAGCTAGATGCAATTACTCGGACTAGAATCTGTACTCTCAGGACTACAGCCGGATGGACCTACAAACAGATTCAAAAAGAATTTCCTCAAATTCCACATTCAACACTCGTTTCTACTGTTCATAAGGAAAACAAGCGAGTCCAAAATGCAACGTGTCCGCGATCTGGTCCACCGCCTAAGCTCAACGAAGAGGATAAAACTAAGCTTCTAGAAGCTGTCGACAAGAATCCCAATATTAGCAACGAGGAACTTCTCGCACTAGTCGATCATAAGGTTAAACGACAGTCGATTTGGCGTGTTCTTCGCGAAAATAGAAAGCAGAAGAGGTTTGTCACTCATTCCGCCCAACTACACATCAATAAAACATTCCAGTTTCATCGTACGTTAACAGACATGAATGTAATCAGACTCGGGTTCAACCAATACTCTTCTAAATGAGACGTAAAGCTCAAAACGGCTGGTCGTTCAAATTCTCCTCTGGTCGAGCTTTTTGACGATACTCGTTTCGTTTGGGCTCTCTTTCCAGGTCCCCAAATGCCTCCGAATTTTGATGTAGCCGCTACAAGATCCCATCCTTCCTAGTTGTCAAATCACAATTAAGAAAGGCCAATTTGCCCTAGTGAAACTTATTAAGGATCAAGGCTGCATAATTCTTGGGGTATTCAATATAATTTCGGCATTCCGATCATACTATCTTGTTACTTTGAGAAGAAGAGAAAAAGATGGAAGGTGAATAACTGAATGGATACCTACAGACACAGTACTATATTATACTATTAGGTCTGGGCAAGTGGGCGGTTTTACGCTGGTCTCACTATACCGCTTTGGGTTTAGCTTCTAATGTATGAACCCTGTGGGCCTCCTTCCTGACCAAAAAGCCCTAGATTTCAAAACAATCTTGGGGATTAGATTCATACTGGAATTAATAAAAAAAGATACACCGACGGCTGGCGGATTTGAACCGCCGCCTCCGAAGAGAATTGATTTCTAGTCAATCGCCTTAGACCACTCGGCCAAACCGCCTGTTGGATGAAAAGCAGCCGAGATTGTGCGTCTGTGAACGTGGCAATAGGATTTGCTGCAATTTCTAAGCCATTGGCTTGAGTGTCTACGACATTCAACTGCCAGATCCTACAAGTACCTAGCCCTTATCACAGATATTTAGAGCAGGAATCAATCACCTCAAGGTGTTCTGTCGATGCAACTCTATCATTATGAGGAAATCCTCTGCCTAGATGAGATGCTTCTAACAGGCGCAAAAAAAAGTTTTCTTAGGGGGATTCTGAGTAGATGAGCTGCAGAGCCCGAAAATCGCGTTGGTAAATGCAAAATTCAATGGGTTTAGCAAAAAACCGACGGCTGGCGGATTCGAACCGCCGCCTCCGAAGAGAATTGATTTCTAGTCAATCGCCTTAGACCACTCGGCCAAACCGCCTTTTGAATAAAAGACTTTTCAGTATTGACAATATAAGGTAAAACGTCTTGAAGCACTACACTCGTAACATCCGGTTGCCGCATCCTCTGGTGGAAAATACTCCTAAAGGCAAACTCCCGTAATAGGAAATTTATGATGAATAGTTCCTCTAGTTCGAAGCTCAGTGTTATTACTATAGTCGTTCAACCTAAAACAGGTGGCATTATAAGTGTGAATCTAAATGAAAACGTCTAGTGCTTTTGGACTTGAAAGTAGGTGTACTTAGTTGTGGTCCACGACAAAATATATTTCCTTCATATCCCCGCCGGTCTCATAGATGACCTTCAAAAGCAAGCCCATCTACGTATTATAGGTTTGTATAGCCATTTTACTAACTGAATGATTGATCCCAAGCTCTGTTAGACCTCGTGTGTCGCTGCCCCTTTCATTCCTCGTCCACCCAGTCCACCTTGTGTTCTAGATGACATGATTCTGGCCAAGACGATATTATTATGCATGAACGGGAGTTGCTTGCCCTCTTACACTCTACCATGGCTGCAAGCCCTTCAAAGCGATCCTAAGAAGTGGCTCTTAGGGTGGATTTGGACTGCCCCGGAAAGCTGTTGACATGTCGGGAACTGAAAAGTGTCCCTTAAGTGCGAAAAGAAGATATGTGGAGCTCAGTAGATGTGTACAAATTCCTAGAGCCACTCCAATTGCCCCACTAAGTCTTCTAAACACCTTAAGATCATACATGGATTCCAAAGTTAGTACTGTAGCGTTTTTTTTACAGTTGGCCTGTTACTCTGTTATGATTATGGATTATCTAACCAATACTCGAAATTATCTTCATCCAATAGGCGGTTTGGCCGAGTGGTCTAAGGCGATTGACTAGAAATCAATTCTCTTCGGAGGCGGCGGTTCGAATCCGCCAGCCGTCGATTTTTGCTACCTTCATGGTGTGTGAATGTTTATATTTTGCTATATCATAATGCTCTGACAATTTCCTATTCTTTTTGCCCAAGTGTATGCAGCTCATAGCTTAAACCAAGTCTAGGCTTCTAGGCTCATATCCTTCACGGCAGGTGGCAATTCACGTCTTAATTAACTCCCATAGTTTGTTTAGCCATTCCATGACTATTCTATTATTGTATGCCAAAGTCCAGACTCAAAGGCGTAGCTATTCAAGCAATATCACTGTTTCAATGATACGCGACGTTCATCTTTCTAACATAGAATAGTAAACTAGTGCTGTGGTCTATCATCGGATGGCGGTTGGGAAGCACCCGTAGCACCATGTGGCTTGAATGCGGCGAACTGCTCAAACTATTTTCAGAAATCTAAAAGTTAGAGTTCAAACCCCAAGTATGGTTTCATTAAGGCTGTCGAAATACAAAAATTCTACTTTTCTGCGTATTCACGACAATCATACGGTCGACAAGTATATACAAAGACCAGGCCGGGTGGGCCTGCGGAGGTGCTGCGGAGCACGGCAGATCAAATTCTCCAACTCCAATTCCTCAACTTCCCCCATTCAAATCCCGCGCTTCAACCCTCCTCGACCAGCAGAGCAGATATATTTCAAGGTTACTCTTTGATTCAGGGACTATTTACCCATGCTTCGCCAAATATTTGCAGCCGCCCCGTCGGCGCGACTCGCGAGCCCGATCTCGACCGCAGCCTCCAAGACCCAAATCAGCCAACAACCGACATGGCGTCTTATTGTACGATAGATTATCCAATATTACTCTTCATTCGCCTGAACAAAGAAAGCTAATCAATGCGCTACTTAGAAACCCTCCTCAATCTCCTGCAGCCACCGCCGATTCACCACCACATCCCCAGCCCGCTTCACCACCTCCGCAATCCTGAACTACTCCTCTCCCTTCCGCCTCTCCACCGACAAACACGCAA